ATATTGTCTCAGAGATTCCATTGAGTGTATCATAAGTATTCAAAGCCTTGACTATTTCAGTTAATCAGCCCCAAATCCAAATGTTCCTTCTCTAACATGACAAAAAAAAAAAAAAAAAAAACCTGCTGAGCTTTTTTCCCCTACATATTATTAATAAAGCATTCTGAGTCTGGGTCATTTTTTAAAAATTGAGTTATAATTGACATGTATTAACCTCCTGTGCAAGAGAGAGAGAGTAATGGGAAGCTTGCATATGCAGGGTAATGAGTTGATGCTAATGGTGGTGGAATATTTTGGAAAAGGATAGCAATAATGGTGGCACAACACGAAAAATGTCAGCAATGTCCCTGAGCTGTAACCGGGGAAGCTGTTATGTTGGTGAATGTCTTGTTGCATATGTTTTTACCACAATAAAAGTAAAATAATAATAATAATAACAACAACCTCCTTTGCTTAAACTGCATAATTTGATGAGTTTTGACATATGTATACACCTGTGAAACCATCACCACAATCAAAATAGGGACCGTATCTGTCACCACCAATGTTTCCTTCCCTCCCAATCATTTGCAATCCACACTCATTTCCCACCTCTGCTCCCAAGCAACCAGTGATCAGCTCTCTGCCTCTCCAGATTAATTTGTATTTTCTAGATTTCCTATAAATGGAGTCACACAGCATGTACTCCGTTTGTCTTTCATTTAGCATAAATCCATATTATATCAATAGTTCACTCCTTTCTGGTACAGTGGTTAAGTGCTTGGCTGCTTACTGAAAGCTCAACGGTTCAAATTCACCAGGCACTTCCACGAGACAGAGATGTGGCAGTCTGTTTCTGTAAAGATTTCAGCGTTGGAAACTCTATGGGGCAATTCTCCCCTGTTCTATACAGGGTCACTATGGGTTGGAATCAACTTGCTGGCAATGGGTTTATCTTTATTTTGTTTTTAGTATTCCATTGTGTGGTGTACCATGGCGTGTTTACCCATTAACCTGTCGATGGATATTTGGACTACTTCCTGTTTTGGAAATCACAAATAAAGTTGTTAGGAGTATTTGTGTCTAAGCCTCTGAATGGTGTGTGTGTGTGTGTGTGTGTGTGTGTGTGCGCGCGCGCGCGCTTCTTCTTAAACAAACACAATGGGAAATGAGAAACACCAATGAAAATAATTGAATTCAAAATTAATTTAAACTATGGGTAAGAAATGGCCTGACCATCTGTGACCCTGAGCCATCAATTAGCTTCTCTTGTCAGTATCCATATTATGAGACCTGTCCTCAACAGGAGTTTGTGAAGAAAAATGAGAGAAGAAGCAGAAATCTTTTGGACCTCCCACATATAAGCTATTACAGTTTATTTCTCTTGAATTTTTATTTATCTCAAGACTTAAAAATGAATTTCTTTGTTTTCCCTTCCTGCCAGCAACATAAAATAAATACAGACAGCTATTTTCAAGGCCAAGCAAGAAAAAGCCACTCTGCATTTTTAAGTCACTCAGCATAAGACCCACAGGCCTTAACCACAAGACCCTGCTAGATGGGCACACACCTGCTTTTCCTCTCCCCCTTTGCTTACTGAGCTAGAGCTCCACACAGGCTAAGGAGGCGGCCTCTCAGGGACCTGGCTCTTGCTGGCCTGTCTGGAACGCTCTTTCCCCAGTAGCCATATGGCATACCCCTTACTTCCTTCAGTTGTTGTTGTTGTTATGTGCAGTGGAGTCAGATCCGACTCATAGGACCCCTCCTCCTTGAGTTCCTGAGACGGTATCACTACGGAAGTAGATTGCCCAACCTTCCTTCCCAGGAGTGGCTGGTGGGTTTGAACCGCCAGCCTTCTGGTTAGCAGTCAAGTGCTTAGGCACTACACTATCAGAGCTCCTTACTTCCTTCAGGTCTCTGTTCAAACGCCACCCTGGGCCTTCCTTCTCTGCCCATCCTACTTAAACCAGAGCCTGCCCCTCCACTCTCCTTTCCCTTTCCATAGCTATCCTTGTCCCCTCAGCACTCATCATTTGACCCAGCACATATTCTCTATCTGGTCATTTGTTTATTGTCTACATCCTCCCACGAAAACAAAACCTTTCAGAGGGCAAGGATTTAGTTCAATCCACTGCTATATCCCCAGCACCCAGGACAGTGCCCGGCACACCTCTGAACTCCACAAATACTTGTTAAACGCATTAGTTGACAAAGCATTATTAAAAAAAATTTTTTTTTTTGTTAAGGTCTGTTTGGAATTTAGTGGAATAAAAAGTTTAATGCAGATACTCTGCTTTTGCTTAAACTAAAATCTTAAGTCAACGTTGATCTATTTCTTAGGATTCTTTGTTGTCTGACATTTAACTTTGAGTGGCACTCATAGAATGAAAAGAACACTGGAATTTAAAGGCAAGAAAGCCAGGCTCAAGGCCTCTGCTCTCCTATAGCCAGCTATGCAGTAAGGACCATCTATAATCTCTCCAGGGCTCAGATAACTCCTCTCCAAAAGGAGGGAAACAATGATCTCTAAGGCTTTCTTGCTCTAAAATGCTGAGGTTCTATCGCAACGAATGCAATCTTTTGCATAAAGGTTGCCAGTCACCAATGGATCAGCTTAGTTTGAATCTCATCTTTCATAATCCAAAATTATTAACTGAAAGATCCTACATAACCAAGAAATCCTGTGAAAAATGGCCCTTATTCACCCAGATCGCCACTGAAGAAGGGGGTTGAGAAGTATACTTCAGAAGAGTAGCAGAAATTTCAAAAGGTAGCCTTTGAAAAAGAAAAAAAAAATGAATTTCTAATCTTCCTCAAATATGAGAAAAAGCTACTAGAAAGGAAAATAAAGATATCTGTTCATTACTGCATCTGCACCCAGAAGAGTAACAAATGTGACTATCATACATACATGAAAGCAGTGAAGTGTTATGATAAGGAGCTGATGTGTTTTGGACTGTGAGACCTGAGCTTCTGTCCAAGCTCTCGGGAGCTTGAGCAAGCTGCATACCTGCTCTCTTTACTTGCCTCATCTGTACAATGGGTACACCACTTACAACTGTTACAGTGAGGAACAATATTTAACTCCTAGGGCTTTTTTGAGAACCTAATAAGATAAGGTCTGGTCCATAGGAAACATTTAATCACTTAATCAGTATTATTGCTAAATAATTAAATGTAAATACACCCACACAAACACAAACTTAATAGCCGCAAAAACATTCTTAGCTATCCATTTCTCTGGATACAAGTATGTAGCCCGTATAATGTAAGAAGTGAAAAAGCAATCTTCACTACTGCCAGTCACAAATGTTTATCACGCAGAGGTATATTGGTTTCTGAAAGGGCATACCACACACTGAAGGAAAAAAAAAAAAAAAATTACCTACCTGGCCAGAGGGGTTCTTTCATTTAAAATCATCCTTCTGTGAAACAGCTGAGAAATTCATTCAATACTTTTATACAGAAAACATCATAGGACAGCCAACTTAATAGCTCAGGTATTTTTAACTACTCCCACTCTTTCTAAGCCTAAAAATATAAAATACGTGTATGTGTGCATACGTGTATGTGTGATTTTTGGTACTGTGAACTTAGATTAGTCTCTAAAGAACAAAGAACAACGTCTTCCCACCTCTTACACACAACAAGCTTAATTAAAGCAAAAAATTCCACCATCCTAGCATAGCACCTCTTGAGTTTTCAAGCAGATAAGACACACAGCTTGCTTTTTATAGAACAGGTCCAAATGAGGCATAAGAAAACTATGATTCAATGTCAAGAATTCCCTGCCAACTTGTCTCTTCCCTTTTTTTGGTGGCCCGGTTGTAAAACAAGTCAGTGAAGAGTTCACAATAGGAATGCTGAGGCAACCTCAAAACCGAGGCGCAGAAATACCGTAGAACGAATTCGCATCTCAAGCACGTCCAAACGTCGCTGCCAACGCAACCCGATCGCTGCCGTTCCCAGAAACACACAGTAATGGGTTTAAATCCATTTTTATAAAGGTTTTTGCGCCGAACGCCAAAGTGCATGCAAAACTGCAAAACACAAAAGATTCCTCGCGTTCCGTTCATAGCCCCCAGACAGGCCAGGCTCCCTGCGCCCTACCCCGGAGAGCCCTCCTTGCGACAGACAATAACCATTTCCTGACATCCTCTGCTGCCTCCACATCCAAATGTCATCCCACGTCGCGGGGGGAGGGGGCCCGTGTCAACCTCGAGCGGCCTGGACCGAACCGCAAGGCCAGCATTCCCACCTCCGGGCACACACGATGCAAGTCAAGTCCCTGCAAAGTTCCCATCAACCGAGCGGACCTAAGTGCTTTCCTTCTGCGCCCAAGCCCAGCTGCCCAGGCGCTGACATCCGCTTGGGCATGCACCTGCCACGGCTCCGCAGCCTCGGCTTCTCCGCGACCCCCGAGCTCATAAAAAGGCCCTGCGGCCTAAAGCGCCGTGACCCTGAGCCCAGAGCGCACGCTGGGCGCTAGAAGCACGCTCCTCGACGTCCACACCGCCACTTCCCTGACAAAGGCCCCGTGTCAATCCGAGCCACAAACAAGGGCAAGTTGCTGGATCGCCCATCGCGATCCGGCAGCTACCACTACCCTCCCTCGGGGACGAAAAAAAATCCGCACAGAACAGGGGCAGGAAGGCAGGGGGATTACAGTGTTAAAATAAACATGTCGCCAAAGCTAAACGACCTGGGTGTGCCCTGGAAGGGGAGGGAGGCGCGGGCCCAGGCGGCAGCGGCGGCTCCTCGGGGCACCGAGGCCTCGCAGGCTGAGGCTAAGAAGATGCCGGCGGCGGAACGCTCAGAATGAAATCCCCGGCGCGCCAGGCCCGGAGCAGCGCGGGGGCGCGCGCTCTGCAGACCTGCGGCCGCCGCCCCATCTGCCGGCCGGCCGCCCACACACACCTGCTGGGGTCGCACTGAGGGCCTGCGGGGGCGCGGAGGCCGAGAAGCGAGGGCCCGACCCCGGCGCTCCCCCGATGGCGGCGCCCGAGGGCAGCCTCGCTCACCTCCAGGTCGGTGTCGGCGGCCTCCGGGGCCCCGAGGATCTCGCTGGGCAGCTCCGCCAGGTCGGTGACCCGGATCAGCCCGTCGTGCAGAAAGATGGTCTCCTCCTTCACCGAGAGCCACTGCGCCGAGTCTGCGGCCGCCGCCGCCGCCGCCGCCGCCGCCGACGAGCCCATGGCCCCGGCTGAGGCGAGGAGCGGACTCCCGGCCCGGCGGAGACGCGAGCAGGAGCCGCCGCGATCACCAGTCCATGGCAGCGGCCGCCGCGCTCACCCGCAGCGCCCCGCTCGCTCGCAGCCTCGCCCGTGCAGCTCCGCCCTAGGCGACCCGAGCCGCCATCCCCCCACCCCCCGGCCCCGGAGACCCCGGCCCAGCCGTCACCGCCGCCGCCGCCCTGAGGAGCAGGATCCGCCTCTGCCTCTCAGCAGCCAACTGTCAGTGAGGCGCCATGTTGGGGGCGGGGCTCCCGGCATGCCCCGCGGAGCGGACAATACAGGCTCCGCCCACCCTCGAGACCCCGCCCACCGGCCCGCTGGTCCCGCACCCGGATCTGCGGACCCTCCTGTCTCACGGTTCGCTCCATCCTGCCCACAGACGGACTTCCTCGGTTTCTCGTTCTCTAGTAATTGGAAGGGGCCTGAGCGTGCGGGACTCAGAAGAAGAGGACGCCGCCTCTCATTCCCGTCCCACTCAGGTGTGCACCCCTCGTTCGGGAGGTCCCTCATCCTAGCCAGGTCGTGGAGGTTGACTCCCTGCTTCACTTTTAAATGAGATTCGTGCAAACCTCTGGCGGCGAAGAGTGTTTGCACATCTGTTCAAAAGCACTTGGTAGGTAGTGCAATGCCGACCCCACATCAAAGAACCAGACCTACTGCCAACGAGTTGATCCTGACTCATAACTACCCCACATAAACCAAACCAAACTCACTGCCATCCGACTCATAGCGGTCCCTCCTGGGGATTCCAAGGCAGCATTACTACGGAAGTAGATTGCCCAGTCTTCCTTGGGAGGAGTGGCTGGTGGGTTTGGACTGCCAGCCTTCTGGTTAGCAGTCAGATGCCTTAGGCCTTACTGGAAAATACCCAACACACTCTCAAAACATGGTGAATAAAAAGCACTTGCCACAAAGTTTGACATCCAGTGTCCAGCACTTAATAAGTGCCCCCTGAATGCAGTTGTTGTTATTGTTAGGTACTGTCAAGTCGGTGGGACCGGTGGCGACCCTGTGTACAACAAAACAAAACACTGCCCAGTCCTGAGCCAGCCTCACAATCCTTGCTGTCTGTACCTGAGTCCATCATTGCAGCCACTGTGCCAGTGCGTCTTGTTGAGGGCCTTCCCCTTCTTCATTGACCCTCCACTTTACCAAGCATGATACCCTTTTCCAGGGAATGGTCCCTTCTGACAATGTGATCAAAGCAGGTCAAAGTCTGGCCATTTTCCCTTTCAAGGAGCATTCAGGCTGCACTTCTGCAGCACAGATTTGGTTGTTCTTTTGGCAGTCCATGGTACTTTCGGTATTCTTCACCAACACCACAACTCAAAAGCATCAACTCTTTTTCAGACTTCCTTATTCATTGTCCAGTTCTCACACGCATATGAGGTGACTGTAAATACCATTGTTTGGGTTAGGAGCACCTTAGTCTTCAAAGAGACATCTTTGCTCTTCAGCACTTTAAAGAGGGCTTTTGCAACAGATTTGCCCAGTGCCATACGTCATCCAGTGTCTTAACTGCTGCTTCCACTGGTGTTGATTGTGGAAACAAGCAATACGAAATCTTTGACAACTTCAGTCTTTTCTCCTTTTATCATGAAGCTGCTTATCAATCCAGTTGTGAGGGTTTTCATTTTCTTTATGTCAAGATGAAATCCATACTGCAGACTGTACTCTTTAATCTTATCAGTGCTTTAAGCCATCCTCACGTTCAGCAAGCAAAGTGGTGTCATCTGCATATCGCAGGTTCTTAATGAGTCTTCCTCCAATCCTGATGCCACGTTCTTCTTCATATAGTCCGGCTTCTCAGATTATTTGCCCAGCAAAGAGATTGAATAAGTATGGTGAAAGGATACAACCTGATGGACTCCTTTCCTGATTTTGAACAATGCAGTATCCCCTTGTTCTGTTCGATCCACAGCCTCCTGGTATATGTACAGGTTCCTCATGAGCACAATTTAGTGATCTGGAATTCCCACTCTTCTCAATGTTATCCATAATTTGTTATGACCCATACAGTTGAATGCTTTTGCATCGTCAATAAAACACAAGTAAACATCTTCTGGTATTCTTTGCTTTCAGCCAAGATCCATCTGACATCAGCAATGATATCCCTCATTCCACGTCCTCTTCTGAATCCAGTTTGCATTTCTGGAAGTTCTCTGTCAATATACTGCTACAACCTTTTTGAATTATCTTCAGCAAAATTTTACTTGCATGAGATATTAATGATATTGTTTGATAATTTCCAAATTCTATTAGATCACCTTTCTTTGGAATGGGTACAAATATGGACCTCTTCCAGTCAGCTGGCCAGGTAACTGTCTTCCAAATCTCTTGGCTTTGCCGATTGAGTGCCTCCAGCGCAGCATGTTTGTTGAAACATCTCAATGGGTGTTCCGTCAATTCCTGGAGCCTTGTTCTTCGCTAATTCCCTCAGCACAACTTCGACTTCTTCCTTCAATACCATTGGTTCTTGATCATATGCCACCTCCTGAAATGGATGAAAATTGACCAGTTGTTTTTGGTACAGTGACTCTGTGTATTCCTTCCATCTTTGGATGTTTCCTGCATCATTCAATATTTTGCCCATAAAATCTTTCAACATTGCAACTCAAGGCTTGAATTTTTTCCTCAGTTCTTCCAGCTTGAGAAATGCCAAACGTGTTCTTCCCTTTTGGTTTTCTAACTCCAGTTCTTTGCACATTTCATTATAATAATTGACTGTCTTCTCAAGCTGCTCTTTGAAATCTTCTGTTTAGCTCTTTTTTCTTGTCATTTCTTCCATTTTCTTTAGTTACTCTTCACTCAAGGGCAAGTTTCAGAGTCTCTTCTGACATCCACTTTGGTCTTTCTTCCTTTCTTGTCTTTTTAATGACCTCTTGCTTCTTCATGGGTGATGTTCTTGATGTCATCCCACAATTCCTCTGGTTTTCAGTCACTGGTGTTCGATGCATTACATCTCTTCTTCAGATGGTCTCTCAATCCAGGAGGGCAGTTGGAACTATTATATTCCATCAGTACTCAACGCGGATTGACATACACTATAAAATAAAAAGGGCACCATCCCTTTTCTATAAAAGAAAGGGAAAATGGTATGCATAGAGAACAGTGTGGAAGAGAATACATTAGAAATTATGCACATGAGCTGCCACGGAAGTGGGACTAGTATGGAAGGGATGAGGGACATTGTTATCATTATGTTATTTTCATAATTTAAAAAAAAAAAAAAAAAAAAAACTTCAGTGTGTTTATCTTTTGACCCAGCAAATCAACTTTGAGGACATTATCCTAAGGAAATAATCAGACTGATGGGCAAGGAAGTATATACAGGGACGTTCAGCTCAATAATTGGTGAGCAGAGGAAAAAATATAACCCATCTAAATGTCCAAAGATATGGGATTGGTCGACTCAAATCTGTTATATCTGTAACATGGACTATTGAGAAGTAATTCACATTCATGTTTATGAAGTATATTGATACAAGTGAATGTTCATGATATATTACTAAATGGAAAATAAAAAAAAAGCAACTCACTGTTGTACAGTTGGATCCAACTCATAGCGACCCCTCCTTGGATTTCTGAGG